GATAAGGAGCAGGGGGAGCAGGAAGATGATGAGCAACCGCCGCCGGTGCAGTCACAGGAGGTGCAACAGGAGGAGGAGCGGCAGATGCACGAGGGAACTGCTGGTTCGCCTGCAGGGCCCTCTCCTCTCGCATCGCAGCCGTTACAACCCGCTGCAAGTCCGCCATCGTCACGGGCCCATCAAACGCCCCGCCACGCCTGCGACCGCGACCTCCCCCCCAGCCGTTCTGGTGCGCATGCCAGTTCGCCTGCGGCTGCCGTCGACGAGGGGAGTCACGGCGACGCCGAGACACATCTCGCTCATCTCGAGATGAGGGCGTATGAGGACGGGAGTTCCGCTGCTGCGCAGCCGGGGGAAGGACAGGTGCAGACGAGGGAGCCACGGGGAGCGAAAGGGCAGACCCCCCGCCCGGCGCACCAAGGGACGTGGCAGGAGCCGCCACGGGTAGCACCACAGGAGCCACTGGAGGTAGCGGCAGAACCGGCGCAGGAGGTGGTGGCACACCAGACGCAGGCGCCGCAACTGCAGCATCAGCGGCCGCCGCAGCAGGCGACGGCAACACCGGAAGGAGAGGCGCAGGCGAGGGCGCCGCGCCAGGAGCAGGAAGAGGCGCCACGTCAGCCACAGGCGCCAGAACGAAGGCAGGTACAGGCGGCGGCGCCACCACGCGCGGGGGGGCGTCCACACCCGCCGACTCTCGTCCAGAGTCGACTACCATGGAGCACGCGTGAGCAGGAGAACCCGCGGCAGACATCGCCGCAACAGGGCCCACAGGCGCCGACAGCACAGGCAAGGCAAGCGCAGCAGACGCCACGCCAAAGGGCCGCGGCGAATACGGCACCGGGGAACCGCCGCCAACCGTCACAGGCATTACGGGGAGGCAGAGGCGCGGGGCGGCGAAGCACAGAGGGACGAGGAGGTGGACCGGAGAACGGGTTTCAGCGAGCAGCGAGACGGGCTTTAAATCGAGCACTTGACAATGAAAATGATGAGCGAAGGGACGCTTCTTATGAGCAACCAGCGCTTGAGGAATCATCGACGGATGAATCCGCCGGAGAAGAGATGGAGACGCAAGCAGCTGCGAGGACTCCGAGAGCAACACACGGTCGGACCGCATCTGCATCTCTCAACATTCAGGGGGGAGGAAATGTGGCTGGACCACCTCTGACTGATGCAGACCCACAATCCTGCCAATTCTCGGTGGAACAGCTGGCGAAGGATAACGACCGTTTCGCAAGGGTGGGAAACTGGGACCTGACCCACCTTCGCGATAGTCGTCAGCCACCGCTGGCAAGAAAAATCCCAACTGACACCCGCCGCCTGTTCGCAATGGCGTTGTTGACGCCCCTGGTACACCTTGCGCGAAATCCCGAATCAGTCGCTGGCTGGCGCCTGTTACTTTTTATTCCCCGCATGATCCTTCGCCAAGCGACACCATCAAAACCCGATTGGCCAGCTGTGACACAGCGACTTCACCAATTTTTCAGAGGCGAATGGGATGCGCTGTACGAATCCTGTGTTACTGCATTATCCAACCCAGCACCGCCACGCCACATTCAAGACGGCACAGGCACGCGAGCCAGAGCAGAGGGCTTGGCGCGCAAAGGCAGCCTGCGACGTGCAGTGCTAGCCCTCGAGTCAACCCCAGTCGCCACCCCAACACCTGAAGTGCTCGAAGCACTCAAGTCAAAACACCCCCCTGCACCACCGACTCCAACCGACTGGAACATCACGCTCACCACCCCCGCCCTCGCAATCACCAGGCCTGACTTTACCAAGCTCCTCAACCGATGTGAAAACGGAGTAGGAAGCGGGCCATCAGGGATGACGTTCGAACACCTCCGCGATGCTGCATTCATCAACGCCTCAGTGAACAGCCACCTCCACGCATTAGTCAACACCATCCTGGGGGGATCCCTCCCCCCCGAGGTGTGCTCGCTCCTCACGTCTTCGCGACTGATCGCCCTCACCAAGCCAGAAGGCGGAACAAGGCCCATCGCAATCGGAGAATGCCTCCTGCGCCTCGCCGCCAAATCCGCCTTAGCAACCTTAACAGAAGCAGCGCGCACCTTCTTCCTCCCTCTCCAGTTCTGTGTCGCGGTCCAGGGAGGTAGCGAGGCCATAATCCATACGGCGCGGGCGTTTATGAGCGCACACACAGACGCTCTGATTCTCCAGGCAGACCTGGCAAACGCTTTTAATAGCATCAGCAGGAGTGCGATAGTTGAGGCTCTCAGAGGATCAACCCTAGAAAACGTCTTACCACTGGCGAGGGTTTCATACGGCGCACCATCCATGCTTTACCTCGATGCCGACTTCAACAGCCCACCACTCACGAGCGAAACTGGTGTACGTCAAGGGGAACCCCCTGGGGCCACTACTCTTCGCGGCGGGCATCCACCCAGCCCTGACGAACACGGCCGCCGCCTTCCCATCAGTCCTATGCCTCGCCTATGCCGACGACGTCACCTTCCTAGGGAAGGCAGAGGACTGCACGGCGGCATTCAACCACTTCACCACCGCTTTGCTACAGGCCGGGCTGACACACAACCCGGCGAAATGCGCTGCATGGAGCGCTTTGGGAGCTGAAGCTTGCGTAATCCCGGAGGGCGTACCGTTCTGCCCAGAGGGTCTTCGGGTGCTGGGGAGCTACATAGGCCCAACAGCGGGAGCAGCGGCATTCCTGCGAAGCCAGCTCGAAGCACTGTCCTCGCCCCTCCCCCTCATTGCCGAGATGGACCCTCAGCTGGCGTCGCTCTTGCTGACAAAGTGCATCTCCCGGCGCATCTCCTACTTGGCGCGCACTACACCCTTGTGCATGCTCCCAGAGGCTGAATGGTCCCAGTGGGGACATGCGCTACTACTCACCCTCCTGGAGGCTTGCATGGTCCGCCCACCGAGGGGTGAAGCGGAGGAAACCAGGGTATGGGGACAGGCGTCTCTCCCGCCGTCCCTGGGAGGTGTTGGCCTCTCAGATCCAGCGGTGGAAGGACGATACAGCTATCTAGCAAGCTTCGTCCAAGCCATGACGCTGCTAAGAGAGGAGCAGGGGGCGGCAGGATCCTCCTTAGCAGCCGCCTTCTCGTGGTCAGCAGAGATTGACCCCGACCCAGACCCGCTTCAGGCTTGGCTGCATGGGTGCAAAGGCGCACTGTGCCAGGAGGCAAGGAACCTGCTGGATGCGGAACTGGTGAACCCCACAGGTCGGCTGCAACATCGCCTAGCCCACCTCACCCAAGCAAGCCGCTACGCAGAACAGGTTGCAGCTTCTAGAAGGATGGAGTTGAACCCTTTGATGGGCCACACGCAGCGGCTAATCTCTCTTTCTGGGTACGGGGCAGGTGACTGGTTGTTAGCCATCCCATACATGCCCGGCCTCCGCCTCAACCCCGAGCACTTTGCCTTCGCCCTACAGTTCCGGCTAGGAATGCCCCTACCCGTACCAGGCCACTGTGACTGCAACAACAGGACTGAAATCCCGGATAAAAGACTCCCTAACCACCTCCTCCACTGCGGTTTTGGACGTGGGCGCACAAACACCCATAACGAACTACGTGATGAGTGCGCCCGTATGGCACAGGACGCGGGGTACATGACTCACAAGGAGACAACGGCGTTCAGCCCGGTCGACAACAAGCGAGCGGACATCGCCATCCGGGACCGTACCACAGGCTCTGTGTGGCTGGGGGACATAACAATCACTGACCCAATCAGCAAGAGGGATGAGCAGGCCACGAAGGGAAGGGGTTGGGCGGCCAGGGAAGCGGCGGACAAGAAAATAGACCTCTACAAAAACCGGTCGTCCTATGCTGGCTTCTTTCCCCTGGCAGTTGAGACATATGGCTGCCCGTGTGACGAGGTTCCGGCCTTCCTCAAGCAGCTATCAGAATCAGCGGCACGCATACACTTCAACGCTCCCCCCAAATCCTACCAGGCGGCGAAGTTGCTGCACCAGTACCGCCAGCGCTGGGCGGTGTCTCTACAGAAGGCCCAGGCCGTGAGCTACCTTGTCAAACTGAACCAGGCGGCACAGATAGAGAACCCCCCTGTGAGCGGGCTGGAGGGGGAGTTGTACCCGGGGGACTGCTTTGCAACACTAGAGCCGGGGAGTGAGTAGGGGGGGGGAAGGGGGGGGGGAAGGGGGGGGAGAGAGAGAGAGAGAGAGAGAGAGAGAGAGAGAGAGAGAGAGAGAGAGAGAGAGAAGAGAGAGAGAGAGAGAGAGAGAGAGAGAGAGAGAGAGAGAGAGAGAGAGAGAGAGTGCAATGATAGTCACCAAGCAACCTCGTACGTCGTACTCAAAAGAAATTTGGCTTACCATAAGCACAGGTTTTGGAGCCACCTCCGTTGTCAACCTCAACAAAAGGTTGAATTGTTTGAGGAACTTGAGGAATAGCGCAGCTGCATGTATGGCCTTCATTGGTCTTCTGGCATGGGAACCGGCCACATGGGTTCATGCCGTACGAATCCTGGTCACCCTTGTGGCTATTGTTGCTGCATGGGTCCCCTGGAACTGAAAGGTGAAAGAGAGGGTACAATCTGAAAACATCAACACCGAAGTTTGTCGATTGAAGGACAAAGCAACGTGTTAGTGATTTTGCAACTCATGCCATACTACCAGGATACATAGAAGCTAAGCACCAGCTTAAGTGTTGTTGCCTTTCCAAAATTGCCAGCATCTTGAACTTGAGGGGTAGGGTGGGGCCTTTCCAACAATTTTGCCAGAGGTGGTTGGTGGCACTACAGCGTGGACAGGCCATCACTTACCTTGTCAAAGGTGCCTCAAGCTGACAGCTCACGGGTCGGATGTCCTGCTGAGTCCCCCACTCACCTGGAGAAGATGTTTCTCTTCCTCTCTCTGAACACCTCCGTATGGGACATGGTACTGTCTACTATTCTGAACCCAGAAATATTTGTGGGGTAAGCTTGTCACATTTTGTTAGCCTGCTTGGGAGAGTGTTGTGCATTCCTCACTCTTGACAACAATGGGGTAGATGCCTCACTCTTGACAACGGGGTAGATGCCAGGCAGCACGTTGATGCCGCACACGCCATCCCCTCCCTGAATGCCCATGCGCATGTGGCCTTTGTCACCCCACTCAACTCCCCACGAGTTGCGGATGATCCAAAATGGTGGAGCAATGCGGTTCTGGCTGCCGTCGTCTCGATTGATGAAATAGCCAACGACGAGCACCACATGGTTCAGACTGCCCGTGTAGCACGCAGGATCCTGGTACTTGAACGTCTGAAACAAAAAGCGGGACGGGGCAAACATCCGTCAGAGAACAAGTATGACTAGCGATGCAAAAATGAAGCAAAAACCCAAGGTTCACCAATAAGCTGACATTTGTCTACTTGTGAAGCGTGCACATGAATATATGTGCCCTCCTACAAGAGTGCACCACACTGCATGAGGGCTGCAGCGACTCACCCCATCATACTGGCAGAACTCACCCCATCATGCTGGCAGAACTCACCCCATCATACTGGCAGCACTCACCCCATCATACTGGCAGCACTCACCCCATCATACTGGCAGCACTCACCCCATCATACTGGCAGCACTCACCCCATCATACTGGCAGCACTCACCCCATCATACTGGCAGCACTCACCCCATCATACTGGCAGCACTCACCCCATCATACTGGCAGCACTCACCCCATCATACTGGCAGCACTCACCCCATCATACTGGAAGAACGTGTCGGCCGAAGCCTCGATGTGAACCACCACTGGCTGGCGCCGCACTGCCAGCATGAGCCCGAAGTACCCCTTGAAGAGCGCTCGCTCAAATGCTGCCACCGGGTATGTTGTTGCCTGGGAACATGAGAATGGGCTTCAAGATGTATGAGTAGAGCAAATGGATGATGCAAGCAAGGGTACAAGGACCATGCCAAGTCCATGTCGCTCTGTGCTCAACGCAAACCATGGAACCGAGAGTTGTTTCACAGCAGGAGGCAGGTCAATGCAGTGCCAGTCTATCCATGACTTAGATATCCATCACACGCAAGGATTCCTTCAATTCACAGATCTTGGCAAGGGGGGGCATACGCCTTTCATGATAGACTAGACGTTTCCGCTTGCTTTTCTCTGCTACACACTAGCTATCTAGCTAGATATAGATCTGGTAGTACGGATATGAACCAGGAGTTCTTCTTAGAGCGGCTTGCCGCAATCGAACCCGTTTCTAGAAACAGTTCATGACTCCACCCACCCACCCCACCCCACCCCACCCCACCCCAACCCACCTCTCTTACCATGCCCTCATTCTGTTCTCCCTACCGGGTCACTCGTTTCTGTGAGTCCACTGCTGGCGTCAACAGTGACGAGCTTCTCAAAGGCCGCAGTGGGGGAGCCTCCAGCCGTGCACTTGTCTGTGCCGGTGAGCCCCATGGCTGCAAATAGTGGCTCCACTGATAGCTGGGGAGCGGCTTGATCCAATGCGATGCCGTACGCAGCCTCCACACTTGCCACCACTGCATACGCCCAGCATGCACCTGAGAATAAGTGGATATGGGAACAGTGAATCGTGCTTAGCCTCTGAGGGTGGAGTAACACTGCAGTTCATACGCTCAGCATGCATCTGAGAAGCAGACACGGGAACAAAGAATGAGGGTAAAAAGCCCTCCTAACTCGAGGACCTTGCTGCCCCGAGCAAACACCACAACAGCGGACGAGACGAGGTTGTAAATTGCAACGTGACACCACACTAAGAAATAACCGTGCACGGTTCACCATGTGAACATGAAGAACGGAGGATTTCCGATCTGGAAAGGTACACTGACACACGTCATCAAATGTCCATCCTCTTGTCACTCACTGCAATCCAGCTGATCCTTGACAGGCCACTCGAGGAAGGCCATGTCGTTCCAGGCATGGAAGTCACGGATGGCCCACGAGTCCACGCTCACATCGTTATCCGTCCATTGGTAGTCCATGCTCACATAGCGCGAGAATGGGTTGGCTCCAGGTGGTGCAAACGTGCTTTCTGATACTGTTAGTCCAAGTTCTGTGAGGAGAGAGAAGGGGTGGACAAAGAGATAGAGGTAGACTAGAGAACATGGGTGATGGGTGGAGGCACACATGGCGTGCGTGTGAAGCACAGATCCACCTTGGAGCTCGCATTGAACACAAGACACTACACTAGAGTTTGCAACTTTGCCCAATGAGAAAACGAAGCAGATTCATGTGTTGTTGTGCATTCAGCATAAGCATGAGCAGTCTACCAAACCGGACTGGTTTTCTGAGGATCGTGATCGCCTCGCCTCCAGCTGACTTTGGAGAACGCAGGCATGTGATGTGGTTTCCAGGTTTCCAGGCTGAAGTTTCACCCAAACGAGGCATACAAATATTTGTCAGAAATGGCGGGTTATAAGCATACTGAAAAGGGTTGTGAGGTTGGAGTAACGAGTCTGTCGCATTTCGCTTCGTGTTGCACATCGAACCGTGTTTGGTAGCCCGCTGTGGTTGGACAGTTTGGGTTGCGATGAATGTTCTCCCACATTTGCCGTACCTTACTTTTCCAACCATTCCGGTTTCCTTGTTCTTCTCACATTCCTTTGCTAGTTCCTCAGTAGTCAGCACCACCGGTGTGGCTGTTGCTTCCATGTAGCTACGCTTTCATCACCGCTCCTAGCATGGCCTTACCACCGCTAGCATCAGTGCTTAGGTATGGGCATGAACAAATAGACGAACCCCCGTTCAATTCGTCACGAACGAATCGAGCCGTTTGAACCACTAAGGCAGCGGCAAACCACCCTAACAGTTCCAAATCAAGCATTTCGAACCGGTCCGAACCGCGCAGGCCATGTCACGTCAAACAGTTTTTGTTCAACACGACTTTGATTCTGACTTGAACCAAACAATGATTGTCAGGGTCCATGCGGTCCGAGTCACGAGAATCTTATTTCAGGCCAAAAAACAAATATGGCCCCAACTTTGCGGGTCTGATTTCAGAGCTTTAACTTTCAGCCGGTACGTTTCCTCCATGGTTTATCAGGTATATTTCCTTGTCACTCAACCAAATGGACAAAAAAAGGGGAAGGGAGAGGGGCGAGGGGTCGGGCCAAACTTGAACCGACCTGACTTGAACCACACTTCTTGTCGAACCACGTTCGGCCTGATCACCACAATCGGGCCAAGTACCTGTCAGGTCCCCCAAAGGTTTGGTTTAGTGGGCCGACTACCAGGCCGGGCTGACTGGGTTCGTGTCAAACTGGTTCAGGTTTGACCCGTGCTCATGCCAAATGTGGCATATGCATAAAGGAACGAGCCTGTGTTGTGAAGCTTTCTTTCAACTATCATAGGCGTTACTACTACTGCTGATCATCTCAACTGCTGGTTGTCACATGGCAGAGAGAGTTCACCTCGAGTGGTCTGGACTGGCTTGCGTGGAGGAGACATTTCTGTGAGAAGACAAAAGACAAAAAAAGGCAACCACAGCAGCACCAAGATGAAAGATGAGATTCAAGGCTGAAGAAGCACGTGGCTGGTCACACAAGACTGCTTTCAGCTTGTCATCTCCACTCTTTCCTAACGAGTTCATGACTGGTGAGATTTTTGCTGAGCATATTTAATTGAATGAAGTACCATGATAAACAATCATTTTCAATGCCACCATCACTGCAGTGCCATTATCACCATCACCATCACCACCACCACCGCCACCCCCACCTACCGCCGCCGTTGCCGCCGTCGTCGTCGTCATCGTCGTCGTCGTCGTCATCATCATCATCAAGTCAGTCATTGCCATCACCTCACCATCACCCCACTCAGCAAATTACTTGCCTGTTCGCATGGCGGATTTGGCAATGCCATGCATCTGAAAGGGCTTCACAGTGGTGGATGCCACGAAGCCAAAGAAGAACGCCGGCTGCTGCCCACTAGGCTGCAGCACCGCACACAGTGACAGCTCCCTCTGCAGCAGCGGCTGCTCTGGCTTCTCCCTGGAAGTGGCCAGAAACACTTGAATTGTCCCAGAATTCCAAGGGTCATAGTCCACCCATGCCGTGTAGAATTCACCGTCGGTCAGAGTGAATGGTGACTCCACCGCGACCAACGAACTGTCCGAGCCATTTATGTTAAGCCCTATATGCTGCTCCTTCAGATCATTGTGGTTGGCATTCTGAAGCGTGTCGAACTCAATGGCTACACTCCTCCTGTCCATTCCACCATACCCTACTCCATCAGCTTTGCCCACCTTGCCCTTGGCCGCGATCACAAATGCAAAGCCATTGGACCCGCCAGTACCATTCTGGGGAATGAGGCAGAATGTGAAGTTCACACTGAAAGCAAGCTCCGCGCCGCATCCCGTGCTTTGAGGCTTTGGGTACGCGAAAAGGGTTACTGGCTTTGCCATAAAAGTCCCTGCTGTCTGCCGCTGCGTTCCCTTGGTGAGAATGCTGAATACGGGAAGAATAGTCTTGCTGATAGAGAGGCCACGATCCCAACCTGAATGGTTTCAACAGATGACAGAAGGCAGAAGGAAGGGTGGGATTGGTGGAGCAATGTTTAATTCCAAGCTGGAAAAAAAAGGGCTGCTACACTGGTGAAGACAAATAAGGTCTGTGCAACATAAGTTGCAGAAATCTTCTGCAGCAGCTGAATGCCTACTACTACTAGGTGTCGCCTAGGACTGAAAACCTGGCAGTTCGTGTAAGACAACTGTACGGCTTAGCAAAATTTTGTGCTTCACTTCTGTTTCTGTAACCCTTCTTTTCCTCACCTGGCAAACAACGCAAAGGCATGGGCTTAAGCCAATCAATGTGCGGTGCCTTTCGAACAGAGTAAAGAACGTGGTACTAGCGTGCAGGAGGCAAGGCACATAAGAAGTGTGATGTGGCACGGAGACGAAAAATACAATAATGATCATCACTGTTTTGCACAAGGATCAATGATACACCAATTACCTTCTGTAAAACAGTTGAATCTTCCGACCCGCATGTATCCCGGTTGACACAAGCATGTTGGCACCAAGCTGGGTCCGTCTGGATAGCAGATGCCACGGCCATCACAAGCATTCGCGCCACCACAGAATGCCGTGCACTCTGCTGCAGGCCGCTGCGTGGAGGAACAGTTGTGCTGCTGCGCGAGGGGACATTCGGGCTGTGTGAAACAGTTGACGACAAGACGGCTGCTAAGGGAGGCTGAACTATTCAGAGGACCTGTCAAGTAGTTGCTTGAAAGGTCCATTTTGTACCATGGAAGAACCGAAATTGGGCCTGAAAGGTAGTTGTGAGAGGCATCACTGCAGGTGAGGAGTACGGGTAGGGGCAGGTGTGGGTGGTGGGGTAGGTAGTAAACATACACAGGCAGGGAATATGGCTGAGGGAAAATAGGAAAACGTTGTGCTGTCGAACGCAAGAAATAAAATCGAGCAAGTAAAAAAACAAGAGGAGGAGGAGGAGGAGGAGGAGGAGGAGGAGGAGGAGGAGGAGGAGGAGGAGGAGGAGGAGGAGGAGGAGGAGGAGGAGGAGGAGGAGGAGAATGTTTGTTGGAAATGTAAGCGGCGGCGAATTATATGGGAATGTTTGTTTCAACAATTTTGTTGGGGAGGAGGGAGTGCCTGGCTTTCCTCAGTCGTCAGTATCCACATGCAAAATCGCCGATCTGCACAAATTGGCGGGCGAAAGCGTCGATCTGCGCAGATCGGCGGGCGAAATCGGTAAAGATACCCGACCCGCGCCGGGGTCGACCTGACCCGGGCCCAGGTCCTATCTGACCCACCTATATAAGGCCGGGTTGGGCCGGAACCATGGATTTTTGTATCCATGGGGTACTCGACCCAGCCCGACCGGGACCCGGCCGGGTCAGAACAGATCGGGTCGGGTCGGGCCGGCCGGGTCGGGTCATTTGCTCATGCCTAACTGTAACGCCCCCCATCCTCATTTCGTACATAGTACAATTCGATGCACCTTTCCCGTCCCCACAAACTGAGACAGACAAGGTCACGAGACGATTCGAGTGGAGTCACTTCGAGTCGGAGTGGAGTGGAGTCGAGTCGGTTCATTCAAACTGCCTACTTGTGACTCGACTTTTGAAGAGTCGAGTCAGGCCTGACTTGAGTGGAGTCATTCACCTCGCGTCAGTCTTGACTCCACTGGCTTTTTCAAGGGGCCCAGAAAATGAGTTACGTTCAGATTTGAATTCGTGATGTGCCTGAGGCTGAAACAACAAAAGCTTTGGTGGTCAGCACTGCATGCATGCAATGTAAGAATGTCAAAACCCCTCCCCTTTCCCCCCTCGCAGGATTTACTGGACTCAATTTTTCAAGTATGGAGTGAGTGAGATTCGAGTCGGAGTCGAGTTTTACTCGACCCGTGTCTTATTTTTCCTCGGGCCAAACTCGAAACTCCACCATAAGTCGAGTAAAACTCGAACCCCCCCCCCACTGGGAATCTAAGGTAACTTCTACTCGCTACCTAACCTACGTATTGTAAACAGAAATGGCAAGTTCTAGGGTGGTAGATCGAGAAAATTGCAATGGAATGGTTGGGTTCCCCAAAACAAACTTTCGGGATCGTCAAATTGGCCTACAAAACCACCTCACCCGACTTCAACTCAACCCTTAGAATCTCAATAACGCAACCACGTCGTATGCGCCCAAGCCATAGCCACGTAATTGTCAATGTATTCAGCAAGAATACCCTAAATTGCGCAGTATTTTCATTTTCCCGCCGCGGGAACGCTGACGTCGTGATCAGTGTTTTTTTACTCGTAGAGTAAAACTGAGTCTTTCTTAACTCGGCTCAAATCAGTTGAGTTTTTACCCCAAAACCATGAGCTCGAAACTGGACAATGGCTAGTTAAAAAAACAAGCCAAGTAACTCGACTCGTTTGCTCATGTATACCCCTCCCTCCCTCGCCACTTCTTCGACGCAAGGACTGCCACACGAGGTGGGAGGAGAAAGCATATAGAAGGAAACCAAGCAGGGGCCTCACAAATATTGCAGATTGAGAAAGCGAGTGCCAATGGCAGAAGGAATGGAGCCACTGAACTGATTGTTGTTGATAGTCCTGAGGTGAACATGAGTCGAAAGCCTGAGAATGCAGAATGGTGCAATCACAAATATCTTCACAGGCATGAGCATGGTACTGGATTGAAGCGGTTCGGTTTTATACCCTTAAATACCAAACCAGTTCGCCACCGAACCGAACCGGTTCGTAGTTCGTGATATCAGGCAATGAACCGAACCAATTCGACCGAACCGGGTCGGTTCAGTACCAAGTCGAACCGGTTCAGTTCGCCAGGGCCCTTCCACTATAATTACCACTAGATGAAACCTAAAAAGGGACCATGGGAAACACACCAATGTTAGGTGGAAGGGGGTGCAATAGACTATGCGAGATTTGGAGCTCGATATGAGCTCCTAATCTCTCGTTTTTGGCCCTAGCTTCGAACCGGTTCGATTTGGCGCGGCGTGGCTAGTTGTTGCTAACAAACCAACCAAACCAACAAACAGGTTCGGTAAAGTACCAGCAGCCCAAGAAAACTGTACCGCTCGGGTAAAAACGAACCAAACCGCGGTTTATTGTTTTGCTCATGCCTAAATATCGACATGGCATCACAATTTCATATCCAGGATTGATAATTCATGTGCGGGTTATTCACTTCAATTCGCGACCCTGGTACATAATGTAGATTCTCACCGTTTTGTAACAAACAAGAGACGCAAGTGCGAGGAGAAACATGGAAAGGGCATTACAGGGTCTCCAACTTAGTAGAGAGGGTTGAAACGAAAGAGAGATTTCCAGTGAACTTGTTGCTGGCCAAAGTTCTGCAGTTAGGAGAAGAGCAGAGCAAGAGAAAGTCTCTGCAGACGAAGACCAATAACTGGGAAAGCTGAGAGGAACCAGGAAGGAAATATGGCAACAGAAAAACGAGAAGCAGATACTAGAGAAGTGAACAGAAACAAAGATGAAACGCAAAAAACATAAACGAGGGAAGGAACAAATCACAAATCATCAACGACAATGCAACAGGAGAATGGAGCAAATCAGGTTCTTCAAATGGGGTGATGCTGTGGCGTGGCTGCATAACATCAACACACTGTTCACTGCACACGCACGGTATGTAAAAGATGTTGCGAACGGTACAGTTTTGGTGGGTGCGTTTATGTTTACAAACTTGTCGCAACGGTTCAGCCCTTTTTTGGTGGAATGTAAAAGATGTTGCGACAATCAGATGCAGAAGCAGGACAAGAGACAAGCTGTACAATGTTTTCAATGCTGTTAAAGGGCTCAGGGTAGCAGGAGGAATGGGGCCTTCAAGCTGATTGCCTCCCAGATACCTGCGTTTGTGAAAGGATAGAAAAGCATCGAGCAAGGCATGGAAGGTAGGGTGGTGGAGCGTGCAAGACATTGACCAGGGATCAGTCAAACAAGCTGGGAGAACTGGAGCTACAATGGACGAGAGGTTCTGGTATGAGAGAATAGTAGATGGAAGAAGAGGGAGTTGAGAGACAAGGACATGAAAGGGGGCAGAGCGAAGGGAAAGCAATAATCAATTGACACAACACAATTTAATCACTACTGCAGGAACCAACTGATGATTCTGTCTATTTTAAACAAGGATTGCCGGCAATGTGGCCGGCTCATCCGACTCTGCAATGTGTATCCGACGACCGACGAGCCACAAACAAGCTTGTTGAGCCTATGCCTCATCGACGAGCCCCAGGCTGGCTCGTCAGATGTACCTCATAAATTTTGCTCAGGAAGTTTGCAACACGAGAAAAGGCGGAGCGGACAGGTCTCGTTGTTTTTAAGTTCCTCCCGGACTCTTCACCCTCATTATTTTAAAGTTCCAGGGCCAGGACGATTGCAAGTTAGACAACTCTGGTCACGAAAAACTCTAGACATATCCGGTGACCAGAGGTGTCTAACAAAAAACCGGGTTTTTGGTGACCAGAGCTTCTGGTGGCTTTTTTTTTTTTTTTCAGGGACTGAACAAAAACGACTGTAAAAAACGGACCGCTACGAAAACCGTATATATTTGCCTTGCTCCTATCTAAGTGGCTGCAAATGCTAAGACTGCCACAAAGCTCATCGCTAAACATTGAAGAGGACTATCATCACAATCACACACGACATTGCGACTCTGCCAGGTTTCAATGTGCAACTTTGAGGGTCGTCTAATTTACCGAAAAACAACGCACCACACTTCACCCCTTACTATCTAGTAGACCCAAGCCAGCCTCCAGGATTCACCACACCATCCACCTCACTTCACCCCTTACAATCTATCTCGGATATCCAACCACCAGCCAAAATTCACCAACCCACAGCACAGCCACGATTTTCCACAGGCTCTCTCCATTCAGCACCTAGATAAGAACCTAGAGTAGAACCTAGAGTAGAACCTAGAGTAGAACCTAGAGTAGAACCTAGAGTAGAACCTAGAGTAGAACCTAGAGTAGAACCTAGAGTAGAACCTAGAGTAGAACCTAGAGTAGAACCTAGAGTAGAACCTAGAGTAGAACCTAGAGTAGAACCTAGAGTAGAACCTAGAGTAGAACCTAGAGTAGAACCTAGAGTAGAACCTAGAGTAGAACCTAGAGTAGAACCTAGAGTAGAACCTAGAGTAGAACCTAGAGTAGAACCTAGACTAGAACCTAGACTAGAACCTAGACTAGAACCTAGACTAGAACCTAGACTAGAACCTAGAGTAGAACCTAGAGTAGAACCTAGAGTAGAACCTAGAGTAGAACCTAGAGTAGAACCTAGAGTAGAACCTAGAGTAGAACCTAGAGTAGAACCTAGAGTAGAACCTAGAGTAGAACCTAGATTTCCAGGCCGAGACAACGCTAGCTTCTAAAGCACCGCGCAAGTTCTTTGGCTCGCTCATCTCTGTCTTCCCCGGCTTGCCTTGATGTGACGAGTCACGAGCAGGCTAAACTGCCAGCTAAACTGCCGGCTAAACTGCCGGCTGAACTGCCGGCTAAACTGCCGGCTAAACTGACGGCTCTACTCATCTACCTCCCAGCTCGTCGCGGATCGGTCCAAGCCGGCTCGGCTCCGATCTAATATTGAGAGTGAGACATAGCACAGAAAACCTAAGTGGAGAGGAGATTAAAATATGCAGAACGCAGTAATGCAAGTGCCTTACAGCTCTTCTAGGTTTCCCAGATTGCCGAGGTCAGATGGAATCGAGCCAGCTAGCTGATTTCTGTCACAATTTCTGTAATAATGAACACGAATCATCCATGCAATGAATTCCAGAAGAAAATGGTTAATGTCTTCGCAATGTGTGCAGACCAGACAATTGCAGGCAATGGATGGGTCACGGGGGTGGGACATGTGAGGAGGGAGAAAGGTGTTCCTTGCCTCCTCCAATCCAGGGTATGCCATGCCATCATCCACGCATTGAATGAGAAGAATGGGATGAGGAGAAATGCCAACACAAGTATGGAAATGCAAAAGTGGAAATGAGTATAGCCAGGGAACACGAGGAATCATGTGTTGGTTCTACTGGCCTCTCCTAGATACAAATGTAGAACTCGCGCCCTGAGTCGCTAGGCACGGCAGGGGATTTACCAAACTCTTAACGGAGAGGCTATGAGAGGAGAAAGATAGAAGGAAAACGAGTAGTCGGAAACAAGGTGCAAAAAGCCACTGTTGTTTTCAAGATTTCGCCGCCAAGTACGGTATTGTACAAAACGATTTAAAAAACGTACTTGTCAATAGCCTCTCGCTATCTAACAGCATATCTAGGGTTCTCTCGCTGAATACGATTTAAAAAACGTACTTGTCCACCACAGGTGCGTTAAACGAGGTTTCTTTTCACTTGTGGGGTGAAAAAAAAATAACACGTGAGATTAAAAAGACTCGACCAAAAGTCGAGGTTTTTTATTGCAGGACGACATTAAATCGATCGAGTTTTTTCTTGCAAAATACGCACTCGAAACTCGACTACTCACCTATATCGATAGGGCATGTAAAATCCCCCGAGTTGGCCGCTTTTTTCCGTCTATATGGTCGACAGAATCTTTCGCAAAGGTCGACTTATTGGTCAAATGGGTGTCGACACGAAATCGGCCATTTTACAAGTGCTGACAGGTTGCGTGGCGGATTTGCTGGCCGGTAAAAAGAATGTGGAAGATCCGCAGTCGAAAATATAGCCGGTTCACAGCGACTGCATCGCACATGAATTGGCGATGTTGACACTCTACTTTAGGTCAAGTCTTTAAAGCTCGCGTCTCAGATTTCCAACCTTTTAACACTTGGTTGGGTTTTCCCGTCTGTGATTGGGTAACGAATGACGAATTATTTGACGAGTGGGTGAAAAAAACACAGCGAACTCCCAAACAGTCGAGGCCAAAACAAACCAGGGTGGGTTGGTTTGGGTGGAAAACGAGCCAAGGGGGACAGGTTTGGTCCCGGGTTCTGTCAACGTTGAGTTCAGAGTCTCATATTTTCGAGAGTTGTTAACACTTGGTGTGCACGGGTAAGTGTGCGACAGCCAACTTTCCCAACCCACCCCTTGCTTTGGTGTGCTTTGCGACAAACTCTGCTGTTACCGGATTCCAACCGTTTAACACTTGGTTGGATGGCAGAAATATGAGACGCGAGCTTTAAGAAATGGGTCAAGTTGACCCCTCGCACTTCTATTTACACCGCGCCAATGCAAACTCGAACCGCACAATTTTTTTCCCATCGACCTGATGATGGTATGTTTTTTACCAGACCTCGAGAGCTTGGCCACACAAAAAATGACACGTAGTGTCGAGCGCGCAATTTAGCGCCGTCGCATTGGCACTGTAGCGGTGGTTGGTCAATGTCTCGGCCGATTTGGAGTCGCTTTCGGTTCGGAAAAGTGTCGACCATGCTTTTTTACCACGCAATTACAAAATACGAAACAATTTCGGCGAGCCAGGGATGGCTCGCGAAGTCAATTTGACTCGTCGCGAGCCTTTGGTTGGCTCGTCATTCTTATGTGACGAGTGACAAGTCGGGGGTCTGTGGCATAAGTCTTAATTCTTGATTCTGAATTATGACGTCCGTTTGTTCCTTACGTGGATCGCGTTGCTAGCGGTAATAACTACGCTACACAGCATACAGATCAGATCATCCCTAGATCAGGAATGATTATCCTGATCGGGGAGGGAGAGATGCACAGTGAACTAAATTGCACAGACCAATCTCAGCGACACGTTGTCGGCTAAGTTGCAAACGCAGCGTCTAAGACAGATTAGACGCTGGGATAGACTCAAGCCCGGGCAGGCAAAAAAAGTACGGGCGGCCAAGAAAACGTTCTATGGGGCATGGGGAAGGGGGGGGAGAAGGACACTGCACACATTTTGGCAATAAGGGTTTAGGGTTTTTGAAGGAGAATTGAGTTAGCGCGTAAACCCCAAGGGTTATTTAAGAAGAATTGAGTTGAACTAGATATGAGGAGCACAGATGAGGTGGTTGTGCTCCTATATACCTTTGGTGGTGGTCCACAAAGAGCTTTGGGGTTGAAATTTAGGTTGGGGGTTAACAAAAATTGGTTCGGAGGGGGTGTTTCTGATGGTCGAAATGGGTGGGGCGAGGGGGTTGTAATGTCGCGAAATTGAATTTCGCGTCGAAATCGCGATATTCAATTTCGCGCGCGCGAATCTTTTTTTCGGGCTGCCCGAAAAAAAAATCCCCCATGCGTCGAGCATCTTCGCGAGCGTCTGGCGTCCTGCGTCCAGACGCAGCGTCTGGACGCAGGACGCAGGACGCTTCGGGCGTCTTCCGCAACTTAGGTTGTCGGGTAACATCCTGGCGAATAATAATCCTGGCGAAACCTTTGTGTTCATTCGAGAGAGGAGACGAAAACAACAGAATTCTCGTTTACTCTCGACTAGTTTTGCATAGACATGAGCAAATTACCAAACGCATGTTTACTAGTTTTGCCAAAAATAGTTCGCCCGAACATGTTTGACGTTCGTCCCGAAGATGTTCGGTGTTCGGGAAGTTTAATGGGAAATTTCCCCAACATCGAACATGTTCGGGAAATTTCCTGTGTTTCGCGAACATTAGATGTTAGCGGAAATACCAGCGCGACATTTGTCAGGGGGACTGCTGCACTTATTAGCTGAAACCGGGCAGGTGAAATTCACTCCTGCCCTGAATGTGAATATATAATGAGGGGGAAATCAATTTCGAACATAAACATGGTTCGCCCGAACATGTAAAGGTTCGCGAACTATTTACATACATGTTTGCCCACCAAGGGCGAACACTGAACACTGAAAATGAGCAAAAAAAGTTCGGGCGAACATGTTTGGTGTTCGCCCGATGCTCATGTCTAGTTTTGCATATTCATTTGTATTCGAGACATTCGTTCCTCAAAGTGTTCGTCAACATTCTGTATCCAGCTTCGTGCTCTATTTGTTCGCTCATCCGTTCTCAACCTCCCCAGCCCCTCTTCTTTTCTCAAGCACGACAAATTCGTCAAAAAATTGCGGGTCGAAATCAGGGTTACTGCGTCAGAAATTTGAAAACACTGTCAGATCCAAATGCTCGACAACCTCGTGCGTGTTTTGGTGCCTCACCAAAGAATGTCTAGATCATTCCAAACGTAGCGGCTAGGCAGCATTAGACTGCTGATCTAAAATCGTTCGACAACCTCGCGTTGCGCGTGTGTTCGTGCCTCGGTCGTGATTCTCTAGATCATTCCGATCGCAGCAGCCCGCCCTCATAACGGCTTCCGATCTAGGATTGCTCAACAACCTCGCGCGCGTTTTTGTGCCTCGCCAGGCGCGTTTCCTCTATATCATTCCATTCAAAGCAGGTAGACATCGTGGCGGGAGAACAGCAGCAACGAGAGAGCAGGGGGGGGGAGAGGAATCAATAAATTACTGCTCGAGTCGAGCCTGACTCGGCTCGTCACAAGCCAATGTGGCTCAACCCGAGCCCTTTACTGGCTCGGGTATAATGCCTGAGCCACGAGCCAACTGAGGTCACAAGTCGGCTCGGCCTGGCTCGACTCGTCTCGGCTCGAGGGTAGGGAGAGCCACAGCCGGCTCGAGACGAGCCTGGCTCGACTCGTCTCGTGCTCATGTCTAACCCCCATTGGCCGCAACTATCAGGGGTCAATATTGGTGGTCCAACCCAGGTCAAGCATTGTTGGAACACCCAGTATTTGCTGGTTGCCCCCCAACCTATTGGGTAATCAATGAGACTGACCAACCAATAATGTTGGGGAGACTCCTTTCTTGGTTACCCTTTCCTGATCCTCTATGCAACCCCTCTCTTTCCTAATGAATGCAACACTCCATTTTCTTTCTGCACTCTCTTGAAGCTGGAGATTGCTAGTTCCGATACTTGTTTGGAATAACAATCTTAACCACGCTGCTAAATGGGCCAGCACATCCACAAATAGGGTTGAGAGAACCACCAAAAAACACCCGTTCGTTTCAAACCGAACATCTTCTAGTTCGGGTTTTGCTCATGCCTACCCACACACCCCCATACTCATCTGCTTCCTCCAATGTTCCAACGAAGCCACTTGTGGTAGGGATAGAGAAAAAAAAATGAGGCATGAGCAATCGGCCCAGTTGGTTCGGGTCGGCCCGGCCCGATATCGGGTCACACACAGGGTAATTGGGTCGGGTATTAACCCGACCCGATTTCGACAGTAGGGACCCGATTTCATCTGAGGTGCCCTAAGATTGATAGAATGGTAGACTCTCGAACCCTAGTCGATTATGTGCAGAGGCTCAATGTCGAGAGATCTGCAAAGGGTGGGAGGGGGGGTTGGGAATTGTAGATTCAGTGCGGTAAAGAGTGGTGAGCAGTGGCGAATTGGTTGGAAATGCTTGTTCTAACACATTTGTTGGAAAGAAGGGAGTGCATAGGCTGAGTAAATTACAGGCAAAATCCCGATCTCCAGATCGGCCAGCGAAATTGGCGATCTGCACAGTTACGCCAACGAAATCGCCGATTTGCGCTTATCGGTGGGCGAAATCGCCGATCTGCACAGAGCGCGGGCGAAAGCGGGTTTCCTGAACCCGACCCGAGTCGGGTCAGCGATTTCAAGTAAAACCCGGCCTTGTATCCCTGGGTCAGGTCAGGGATTTCAAAACCCTGCCCCGGCCTGACACGACCCGACCCGACCCGGTAACCCGCCTGGCCCGGCCAAATCAGGTCGGGTCGGTTGCTCATGCCTATGTATATATAAGTAAACTCGACTACCATACCAAGTACAGTAGCTGACTTGCAACTTTGTGCATGTGCGACCCTTGTAAGAACCAATATAGTAATCCGCTTTCTTTAGTACTGGGCAGAGCAGGGAATCAAACAGGTTCTTGTAACCGAGTACTAAGTTAGCAATCACTCTCGTCTCAAAGCTCTTAAAACATGATGCAGTTTGTTCCAGCCATACGCAACTCATAAGCACGAAGTACCGAATACTCAGTAAAGGAGAAGGTAAGGGATATTGTTTTATGTAGAGGTCAGGAGAAGAAATGCAGTGAAGGGGCAAAGATAGGATAACACAGCAAAGCGGGGGTCTTACACGACTTTCAAGGCCATCAGCTTGCTGATTTCGCCGGGGATTGGCCCTGTGAACTGATTCTCACCAAAACCTCTGTGTTGGGGATTCAGGTTCGCATGAAAACAAACAATGGATAGGAGTAATCAAATTGGTAGGCGAAAATTCTAAAATGCTATCTGAACTGAAGCACGACAGCCATAATGGGCTGTAGCTTCCACACATTGGGCAGACCTTTCCCACCCCGCCTAGCATTGTTCTACCAGCCCTAGGTCAAGCACTTGGTTCGGTAGGCTCTAGGGCAGCGGTAAACCACCCTAACAACCTCCCTTCTGGCAGGGATGGCAGGCAAAAGAAGAAACCCGGCCAGGCTAAAAAAAAACCGGGGATCAGAGGGGGCGAGGTGGAAGGAAACAAGAGGTGTGATAGAGGCGCCGACCAGGGTGGAAATTTTCTCTTTGTACTGCACAGCGGCACTCGCTGCAGCAGAGGAAATACCTCTGGCAACGGGTGCGGGAGTGGGCGGATCTGCGGACATTTTGGTATATAAAGAGTAGAAAACGACTAGGATGGAGCCAACGCTAAGCATCTGGTCGGCTATGAATGAAAAGCTAAGATGAGCGTGAGAAATGAGCATGGGAGTTGAAATGGTGTCGTGAGAGCCAGGTTGGGTAGATTCTGTGTGGTTGGAAGCTTGTGTTTGTTTTTGGTTTGTTTGTGTGGTGTTCTTTAACCAGTTGGCTTTTTTTATTGGGTTGCGATTTCGCCGCGAAATGGTGACTGGTTTTTTGCGGTTCTTTTTCTTTCCGAAATTCGGGACAAAAGAATCAGCGTTTTGACGATTGACGCTGCCTTGTCTGAGCGTCAAATCCATCACAACAAGGGACTACGGATATAATCGTTCCGCACCGAAAGTACTAAAAATTAGGGAGGTTAGGAGAATTACATGAGTAAAGATGACAAGACAAGCCTACATCCAACCAATGGAGGGTTGAGGCTATCCAATAAAAAAGAGAGAGTCGACAAGTGGGAAGAGAAAGGAGAGCACAACAAAACCGAGGTCTTACATGCTAATTAGGTCCGTAAGCATGCCAATTGCACTGGGGATTGAGCCTGTGAATTGATTGGTATCAAGACGGCTGACATGACGATGATGAGGCATGGATACGGGCAGGCCGGGATTTTTAGCCCGGATAGAAACAATCAGTACATGCATACACAGTACATGCATAATTAAGAGAAAGGGAGGAGTGCGGATGGAAGGAGAGTTGAGGCGAAGAGAGGTGCAAAGATATGAAAGGGGAACAGATGGATGAGCGAAATCAGAGAAGAATGCAGAGGTTCGTTCGAGTAGCGATTGAAAAAGAGGGAACGCTTGAGAATGGTGTGAGTTTGATTGAAGAGCCCAGCAGAACGGATCAAAGGCCTTACAGGTGTGTCAGCTTCGTAAGGGTGAAGATGTCAGTTGGAAGGGAGCCACGGAGCTCATTCCCGGAAAGATCACTGTGATGTTGGCCACAAATTGGACATGTGATAGAGTCAGAGAGTTGAAGTTACCATCCGTTGGCAACCAAGAGTTAGTATGAGAAGATACTTCGTGCGTAAGGCACCATGTTATGCCCTTTCCACATGCTGCAAAAGCCCATTAGACGATAACCAGTATCTGCCCTGGAATGTACGCAAACATAGCAAGGGAAAGACGGGGGTAGGATAAGCAAGGTTAACCTCGCCTCGCATAGCCCAAAGCGTGGATTTTCCATGCAGAATAAGGGAGGATACAAAGAGGGCTACGTGAAGTGGGGGGAAATGAAGAAGCAAGGATGATGTAGGACAAAGAGAATCTACAAGGATAGGAAGACATGTGGAACGTACGTTGGGTAAGAGGGCATATATTGGAGACACATGGATGGGGAGGGACGATAAGAATGAAAGGTTGGGTGGGGATTTCACTAGATAAGAAGATGAAGGCAACGTGAAGAACTAGATATGACACCTCCTTCCTGCGCCGCCTCACCACTCCCTCAACTTGTACTCCCCACTCCTTCACCTTTCCAGCCCCTGTCCTCCCTCCCCTCCACTCGTCGTTGCTTCTCTCCACCTTCCAGGCAGGCAGTTCACAAGGCCAGGAGGACGTACAGGTCAGTGAGCTCTCTCAGGTTGCTGATGGAAGCCGGAATAGTTCCTGGCAGATAAAAACTCTCTAAAAACCTGCGTCCATACATGCCATACCACCAAGGGTTTGAAAGAACAGTAAGGCAGGTGGCTCTTAGGAAGGAACCAATGTGGGAGTCCATGTCTTGTCCCAAAACATCCAGCGTGGGCGTTGTGCTGTGGGAATAGCCGGACTGCAGATGAGGTGACGTGACCCCCACACACATTCTCACGATCATCCCGCTCGTGTCGCATGAGATGCCCTCTGCAAAGTCGCAGAAGGTGCCTTGGGCAGTGGCGCGTTCGCAGTACAATTCGTTGCCGAACTCATCATACTCGCAATAGACGCCGTCTGGTACTACCATCTCGTTCCAGCCAGTGAAATCCTGATTCGATGCCCTCTGGAAGTCTTTCAGGAATTGCACTGCAGATATTGTGGAGGGGGTAGTGTGGGGGGGAGGGAGAGGAGGGGGTGAGGGGAGGGGAGGGAGGGGAGGGGAGGAGAGGGAAGGGGGGGGAGGAAAAGAAGGAGGGAGGTGGGGGGGAGGGGGAGGAAGAGGGCGGGGGGCAAAAGGGTGGAGAAGAGGGGGAGGGGGGTTGGAGAGGGGGGGTGGTAGAAATGGGGAAGGTGACGGATGTGGGAGTAGGTTGAAAGCAGGGTGGAAATTTTCGCACCGAAATTTTCGCCCGAAATTTTTAATTTCCACCTCTTTTTTTCCAGACCGAAAACATGAAAACATCTGCGAAATTTTGGATCCTGGTTGAAAAAAGACAGCATGATGAAAGGTGGTGTCACCGTAAATCACTACTCGTACTAGTATTCCATTGCAACCATGGGCCTCAATACACGGCGTGCCTCAACTCGCTCGTCACCTTGCGAGGCCTCCATTCTCGTGTAAGGCTGGGCGATGGCGGCGAGGCGAGTGGCGAGGGCGGCGAGGCACCATGCAAGTGCCAGCGCGCGCAGCACGCGCTCACGCGCCATCCGCTGGCGGCTCACCGCCGCCGCGGCGGCCGATGCAGCCCAGGTCGGGCAGGCCGCGAGGCTGGAGCGCTGCATGCCGCTCCACATGGCTCGCCGCTGCTCAGCCCGCCGCTGCTCGCAACTGCACCCACTCCTCCGCTCGCGGTGCTCGACGGATGATGAAGCCGGGCACTCGGGACGGAAATGTGAGAGATGTTTGCTGCGCGTGGCTTTATCTCAAGTTGTGTTGACCCTCGTAACCCTATTAAGTATACTACTTGTGTTGACGCCGACTAGTGGCGGCGGCCCGCCGGAGCAGGGAGCTGCAGTGAGTTTCGCTCGGAAGCACCGTCGTGCCGCCGTCCGAAAAAATGGACCCCCAAAATGCTCTTAAAAACTTCCCACAAGGTAACCTTAAAGTCACCCTGTCAAAACTACTATCACCGCTGCAGTAAAAGCGTCCGCAGCCTACGGAGGTCAGCATGCCATTCGGAATGGTTTGAAGAATATGGAGTATGCAGATCGTGCGGAGAAGCACTGAAACATGTGAGCAAGATTGGAAGGAAACCAGCAATGTGAGCAAGATTGGAAGGAAGGCCGCGTAAACACAGCCATCACCGCCATCCCTCGTCCACAGACTGGTCGGTGCGTGTCTCTACTTCTCTGGATTACAGGACGTTTTACTCAAATTAGCTTGTTGTTTTGGGTGAGTTTTTAGAACCACCCTGTAAATACTGGTTTTGAAGGCTGTACCACCCCGTCACCATCCGGCCGCGTTTAATTGTATTTCCCATTTATAGCATTTTTAGGCTTCCGTAACACACTGCCTGGCCAACTTCGATAGTGGCGGCACCCTGGCTGTGATTTTGTTTATCCTATATAAAATCCACAGAAGTGTGGGTTTTTCACCCTGCTAGATCAGACAGGAAAACAAATTATATCCTGCCGTTTCTAGGGTACGCCGCGGCAGGCACACTGCAGAGGCAGTGTGATTTTTCCCCCGAACTCTGATTCCACAGGGTGCCCCAAAACGAATCGAGAGGCCTGGTGTCCACTCTAGGCAGGCCGAGGACATCCCCTTCCTCGCGAGATGAGGGGCGTTCCTACTTGCGTTCCTACGGGGCGTTCCTTGCTCTGTGTCAGGGTGCATTCGTAGCCCGTGTCAGACATCAGGTCATACCCGAAGTGGAGGCTCGGAAGACCCGAAGTGGTTCGTTTGTGAGGCAAATCCGAGGTCGGATGAGCCAAATTGGAGACTAAGGGCTTTTGACCTGAAGTCTGACACGGGCCACGAATGCGCCCTCAATCCACCAACCCACCAAGTTTACGTTTCCACCAATTGTCGTCTAGCGCTGCCCGCGGGCAACAAAGGTAAACCCCCATCGGAAGGCATACGTTCGCGACGCCTAAACCCTAAACTCCATGAGGCAAGGTGTTTCGGGTTGATGCATCGCGAACGCATGCCTTCGTAGAGGAGTTTAGTTTTTTCTTGCCCGCGGGCATCGCTAGACGACATATTGAGGCCACTGTAGCCGTATGAACTTATCAGCTTGTCCGTACTAGTTTTGACATGTCAAAATCGCTAGTGTCGATTGATATTTTGACACGAGCATACGTGTACATTCTTGGCAGCGTGTCAATTTTTCGCAGACTTGTTAGCCAGTAGTTTCGTCGGACACTTTTTGCTCTGACACAGTCAATACCTACAAACCAGCCAGGGTTGTCTCAGCAACAAGTCTGATGACCCCCTATTGCCCAATCAAAACGCACCGTTGCCTATGTGAAACCTAAAAATAACTGCTGGCAAAAACGTGTACGAATCATTTGGGTTTGCGAGTAATTTCCAACGAATGTGCTTGCGTTCTGGATTTTCGCACATGCGCTTCGAGTTGACACTGATGGTACAGTGATTGACACACCAAAACACGCGCGCTTCGGGTTGACACGCATAAACTTGACATGTCAGAACTTTGGACAGGATCTGGCACGCATAAACTTCACAGGTCGATGCCCTCACCATCGTCACGTGAGCCACGTGAGGGAAACGGGGCTGGCACTGACCTGGCACCCCCCACCTCGCCCGACCCTCCTAAAAAAGAAAACCCAGAGCCAGAGCCCTGCAAATCAGGCCCTGACCAGGACGCCGGGCCTCGGGCCAACATCATAGACATGCAAATTAGTCTGGTAACCCTATTCGATGGTATGCAAAACCGTCGATACCCCAGTTCTGCTTCGCAAATTTGTCTGGTAGCGCCACTCAAAACACTGTGTAACAGCTGACGCAGCACAAAAAGGGTGCAATGGGTGCAACAATCGAATGCGTTTTCAATTTCGTTTCATTCGTTTTTTACCGCGCTCCGTTCGGCGCCTGACAAAGATTCATGCGGGCAACTATTTTGCACGATAATTTTAACAGGAAAATCCGTTAGAATGGAAGTTAACGGGGTCTTTTTCGTAACAATATATTGCACCCAGTATATAGCTTCCGGTTACTGCTAGGGCAGGCAGGAAAAAATATAAAACCCCTAGGTACCTGGACTCATTTCAGGGAGGGATCGACCCTAAAAACGGGAAAGGGCATTGTTTTTAGGGTTGATGCCTCCCCGGGTGCATCCCTTTCCGATTGGGTTTTATTTTTTTCTGTCAAAAGAAGTGAACAGTGTTGCTCATCTGGCAGAACCAGTCGCCCGAATAAATCGAAGTTTAGCGGAAAGTTAAGCGCGGTAGAAATCAGTGTTTCCATTCAGAAGAACCTAGTTACTAGCGCAATATATCAATACCTCCAAAACCGAGGTATCGACGGTTTTGCATACAATTGCATAGGGTTACCATACTATGTTGCATGCCAGTGATGTTGGCCCGCCGGGCCTCGCCTGCCCGTGGGGACCACACGCTGACTGGCGTTCCTGAGATGGGGCCCCATCGATTGATATGGTCGGTGCAACAACATTGGTCCAGCGTGGCATAATTCGATTCTGGTCACACCCACCACACGTGCCTGGCGACAAGAGTCGCCTAGGGCGAAAAACATGAAAAGATTTGGGTCAAGCAATCACATGCTTTTGTACTCAACGTTCATGCGACAAGTTTTAATGGCCAATTCCAACCAAGCCTCGCAAAAGTGCTCCAATTCCAATCCAGTCACGGCTGGGTTCCGTGACAATAAAAAACGACAGTCGTTCTGACGTTTGACGTCAGGGAAGTTGACGGGCGGAAAAATCGCACGACCATCAGCTCCCAACTCATGCGACGTCCACATTCACCCACCCCTTTGCGGCCATGCCACAGGCACGTGCTCTGTGAACTGTAGCATGGTGAACTTCGGATGGGGCCCCATCTCAGGAACGCCATCTCATAATCGAACCGAATGGCAGGCAGCCGGTCGGGACCTGGCTGACTCAGCTCGCCGAGCCTGGACCAGCTGACGCACCTCGCTGTGGTTCTGGTTACCCGGGAAACCGAAATTCATATGTCCAGGCAGGCAGGAAAAATGTTACGAAAGGAAAGGAAATTGTTATGAGTTGTAATCAAGAGAGTGCGCAGAATTCAACAACGAGGAAGTGATAACAAGTACTGTGCAAATAATGAAGCTTATCACTAATATAGCAACTGCTAGCTAGGCCGAGGTCGCGGGACCGCGGATGGCTGGGTGCAGGTTCGGGGTTGGGAAACCCGAAGGCGACGCGATGGTGGTTCGGAGGGCGAGGTTGTCGGACCGAGCCTGAACTCCGAATATTGGGGTCTGTACGCGTACAGTGTGACTCAGTAAGGAATTAGGGAAATTTCCTTACACCACCCCCCCTTTTAAGAAAGGTGGTGTATATCCGGGACGCGCCGGCGAGTCAAATGATCTTGCAGAACCGGATGCCCCTGTAGCGAGTCAGCGGCAACGTAGGTGTCGTCGTCGCTTGTACGATCTTTCCAGCGGAGTAAGACGACAACGCGGCGTCCCGAGGCCGTTAGATCCACGCGATGGTTCAGAATCTTCCATGGCTCGAGTGTCGGATCTGCCACAGGTCGAACACTTGGCGCAATATTTGGCCGGGCGACGGTCGGCGACTGGGGTGCCTCGTAATGACGCAGTAGGCTGACGTGGAATGCGTCGTGTATCTTCCAGTCGTCGGGAAGCAGTAACCTTGCCGTGACAGGTGTCACCATTTGAGTAATGCGAAATGGTCCCACGTAGCGGGGACGAAGTTTTGCAGGCTGGGGCAGTCGAAGATTCTTCGTGTCCAATAGGACCATCTGCCCGACTCGGAAGGGTATATCCCTTCGGTGTTTGTCAGCGTTGCGGCTAGCGACGGTATTAGCCTTCCTTATAAACTCGGCTGCTTTGTCGCGAGCTGCTTGAAGTTCCGTGACGAACTGCTGCGATCATGGTACCGGATTGTCGGGGGTCGTGGATGAGGGTACCACGGGGTCTATCTCGTAATTTAGATAAAAGGGAGATTGTTTGGTCG